CACTAATCCAGCGATCTCATTTTCTAATAGCTCATGCTGTCAGTGAAAGATCGCATGCCGAATGGCACTAATCCAGCGATCTAATTTTCTAATAGCCCATGCTGTCAGAGAAAAATCGCACGCCGAATTGCACTAATACAGCGATCTTATTTCCTAATAGCTCATTCTGTAAGAGAAAGATCGCACGCCGATTGACACTCATCCAGCGATCTTATTTTCTAATAGCTCATTCTGTAAGAGAAAGATCGCACGCCAGTTGACACTAATCCAGCGATCTTATTTTGTAATAGCCTATGCTGTCAGAGAAAGATCGCACGCCGAATGGCACTTATACAGCGATCTTCTTTTCTAATAGCTCATTCTGTAAGAGAAAGATCGCACGCCGATTGACACTAATCCAGCTATCTTATTATCTGTAGCAGTCCTTGCTGTCAGAAAAACATCGTACGCCGAAAGTGACTAATCCAGCGATTTTATTTTTTGGCAGTTCTTGCTGCCAGATAAAGATCGCACCTCGAAAGGCACTAAATCCAGGCTCTTCTCTGGCAGTCCTTTGCTGTCAGAGAAAGACCGCACTCCAAAATCAATGCTATTTTGTCCTTTATTTTTTCTAATTACAAAATCTTTTGCAGATATTATTTTTCTTATTTTATATTATAATACCTACAACAAATTCGTCCATAATTATCAAGACTTTGTTCCAAGGCTGGAACGCGTTTATGATATTAAGGACACTTTGTTACTATTGCAAATACATAGAAACAGGTTTATTAGGCAGTTAACATTTTCAATAAAATGGATAGCTGACTCTTACCATTTTTAAAGAGTACAAAGTGGCCTTTCCACATTTTATAAATTATTTACTGTGCTGAAAAACTTAAGGACCTCTGACGATAATGTAAACTATATGTCCAATTTATTTCTTGTTTACAAATACTCCATTAATCCAGTCCAAACTAATATTATAAACGCATCAACGCGAAAGGAACTGAAGATTTCGTTTTCACGCCTAAACCATTGAATCAATACTGATGAACTTTGGTATATGGTAAAATGGGACTTAGGAGAACATACTTTTTGTCATAAAAATAATTCTTAAAGTGGTCGAAATAGGAGACGAAAATTTGTATGGAGAACCAATACAACTATGAAAATTAGTATAGTACAGTAGGCTACTCGAAGTACTTATTCTACGCAGATGAAGTTGCAGGCACCAACTAGTACTTTATAATTTCGAAATTAATTTTATTAATTGCTAATACAATAGAATGAACTTTATAAAGCTGTTATTTGTTTAAACACTTTCTTTTACATAAATTGTTCAGTTTGCACAGCATAGCTAAATGTTGATGGAGGCACTCTAGCCACTCAACTATATTCCTTTCATTTCCTGTAAAAAATATAGAATCACCTAAGATAACAAGTATACTAGTTAATCCATAGTACCATATGATATTTGAATGTATAAATGTATTTATTTCATGATTGCAAAAAATCTTTACTTTAAAAGAATTAAGTTGAATTCCTCATTTATGATATTAGTAAGTTTCTTTAAATATATTCCTTAATAATAATAAATTTGTTACAATAAGTAAGCAATAATTTTAACATTTTACCTAATACTTTTCATCTGGATCTTTTCCATATTAGGAGGTAAATTGTGCACCCAGATTCCTTATTATATTTTTATTTGTGAGGATCTTTAATTTGCTCTCAGTTATTATTATTATTACTTAATTTAGTTTTAACCTGTAGATCTTCCTTTAAATAAATAAATAAAGTAATATATTTCCCCTAAATGATACTGTAATATGTATTATCTAATTTACACTTTATCTAATTAACATGGAACCAGAATATTAAAAAATTTAAACATCAAGTCATATCAACCCCATAATTCTGTTAACAAAAAAATTTATTCACTTTACGTATTTAATGTGTATGTAAATGACTGAGATTACCATAATGGAGTGCTAATTATGTTTCCAAATATTATAATTCCAAAATTACGTTTAGTTTGATTTTAATATTGCCAATAACACCTGTAGAAAATTAGAGCTACACAAAAAATATAAAGAAAATAACGTAAGCGATAACTTGAATGAGACCTTGAAATTGTGCACAATTGAGGTAAAAGACTTGGTAGAACAACAAAATTACAAGCGCCAAATTGTGCACAATCACCGGTAAGACTTAAATAACACGATAAAATGTGTTCAAGTATAAAATTATTCGAAGGAAATCACCAACACCGTTCAATACATTTTCCTGTCATACGTTACGCTGGTAATTATTCAACACCAAAGACAGACACTATACATATTATGCATAAATAGAACGAGCATCTATACACCTTTAAATTTTTACATGACGAATTAGAAAAAGCTCAGAAAATGTTTATAATCGGTAAATCCAATAAGAAACAGCTGTCACGTTATGTAAACTTCGAAAAATAAATGCAAATGTACTCACATCAGTGACCTGGGGATCGCGGAAAACATTTCAAAAAATAAGTTTCATCTACCAAACTTATGATGAAGTAATACCAAGCTTCCGCTTTTAGATTGTAATAATAATTTACAATTTATCTGTTTTAAACGCCCTCCAATCCATGTGGCAGTGCTGTGACTGATTTTTAGAGCGCATAAACTTATTCTTTTGAGCAAGATGTTCACTCAGTAATTAAGAGTAACTCTAACTTAATGGTTTATCATAGAGTGGAAAGCAAAATTATTGAGCTTCACATATTCAACCTCGTAACTTTACCCAAAAACAGTTATTATAAATAATAATCATTCCCACATTCACTATTAATTTTAACCTTTTTCTACCGCGTACCACTTGAGCATTGTTTAATTTAATTTGTTTTTTTTTATTTGATGGTTAACGCCTTGTCATTCGCTCTGGGCCTTTTGGAGGGAAAGTGTCGTTTTTATTTTGACTTTCAATTATTTTGTGAAATCTATTTTAAAGTGGAATAGGATAGTGCTATTGTGCCTTAATCGAAGATTAAAACGCGAAATTATACGAATCTCGAACTACAATACCCGTATCGGCCCGTTTTAAGGAATCCCGAGTCAATCCAAGCACGCCGCCTCAAATTGCCTATCCTCTTTGTGGTGGTCATATTTACAGAAATATAATTAAACGTTTATGTTTTCGGCTGAAGGACTTTGTTTCCATGGCCAGCAATAAATTTTAAAAAAAATTAACACCTTGTACAGGGTCAAGAGCACGTCAAGCTTGACACTTAAGACTTAAATCCAACTCTATGCCGCTTACGATAAGAACGGTCCAAAGTACAAAGTGTCAAGCTTGACGTGCTCTTGACTGTACATACAGTACGCTGCTACGAAAGAATTGTAAACTTTATATGTCAAAATAATTGTCGCACCCCGTAAACGATTAAATAATTTGTCAAATTTTTTGATCGTCTGCTGACGTGTTTGTTGCGTTTGTCAAATAATGTACGTGTTTGATGTAAATTTAGATTGACGGCGTGTTTGACAAACATGTTCGAAGGTATGCGGGTAGGTTTGTAAAACCAAACTTCAGTTGTTGACTATGCGTTCACCTTACTAGATTTTTTATAGTCATTTGGCTTTGTGTGCAATATTTCTTTTAACAAATATTCATGGACATGTTTTTTCATTAATTTATGTTTTTTTTCTTGATTTTTTTTAATATTTCATTTCAACCATTGTCTATACCATAGTTTCCTGTGGGCGCTGAAGAATCCTAAGGGGGCGATATGGGCCTTGGAAGCAATTGATAGATAGATAGATGAACACTTTATTCACTGATATAACACAAATACAGATTAAGTATAAAAGAAAAACAAAACATGATTGTCATAGCAGTGAAACGATGCTGACTTAGCATATGCCAAAGTTTCCTAAGGCGCAAAAATATAACAACTATGCGTAAAGTTAAACATGGACAAAGATAATATCGATAGTAAAGTGTAAATAGTGCATCTAAAATAACCTGTTTGACATGTAAGTCCATGAGCGAATGTGCAAATAATTACAGCTGTAGGAGTAAGTTGTGATTGTAAAGAGGTTTTAGTGTTGGGGGGTGTTACATGCTGTACAGGGGGTGCTGCCACATTTGAAAAAAATACTTGAATTATCTATATAAACTACATTCCATATAATATATTTTTTTTTATGATTTTTTACGTTAAATTAATATGAAAAATATGTGTTTTCAATTATTTTGGTAGTGGTGGTACCTATGCTCTATACCAACATATATTTATTTTCTTTTCTAGACATAGTGCTACAGTTAATGCCAGAAACGTTATAATCTATTATTCTTACTCATTGCACAAATTACAAACTTTATAATTTGGTACAGTACGACTGTTGAAAGAGATGGCCGAGTGCGAACTACAGGCAAGTTTGTCAAAGTTGTTTGATGGTTTTTTAATCGTTTGCGACATTGTTTGGAGAAAACATTAATTTGAAGGATAAATTTGACAAATTGTTTGATCGTTTACGGGACCAATTTGTAGCTTTTTGCACTTCATAAACTAGAAATTTGTAGATCTTCATGTGTGGCTCAGTGCACCTACTTAGTAGCTGTTTAGAAAATTGACCACAAAGGCCAATTGATCATTACAAATTTTGATTACACATTACGCAAATCCGATTAAGGTATTTATAATATGAGTTATATCGCAAATACTTATGCACTATTGTCAGTAACCACAGTAAATGGCAAACAATTTGACATTTTTACATTTTATGTAATGTAAATTGATGCATACTCGTATTACAGATAAATTATTTTATTCAATTCTAACATGTATTAGAACATTCAGTTTATTTAATAAGGTGTTTTAAGGGTAAGTAAGGTATGCAATATTGTGAGCAATATCAGATTTTGTAGAGTCTTCACCATATTTATCACGCATAAAAATATTTATGGCTAAAACCCGCGCCGGAGTTAAAATACATTCTGCAGAACCTTTTATATCTTAAAAGAATTGCTGTAGTTTCATCGCACCCTATTAAGTTACTCACTGAGTGACCATTACACAAAAAAAAATGAACGCATCGAATTTTAGAATGATTCAATTTGTCTATGTCTATGAGTCTATGCCAATTTCCTCTATGGTTTCAATTGACATTGATGTATTAAAAAACATATGATCACTCATGTGTGTTTTGGTGAAGTTATTTAATTATTTAAATCCCAAAATTTACTCGATGCCATGATTCGGGAAGATGATCCACAGTTTCGAATTACACCTATTCAGCAAATGGCATCAGCTTGTACCGGTGCTCTTATAACCTCATTATTTAGTATGTTATTTATTATTCTTGTTTTTAATGCACGGGAAATGAAGGTCAAAGTGTATGAATTATGTACATAATTTGATTATCTTTCAGTGACTCCGCTGGATGTAGTTAAAATTCGATTACAGGCTCAGCAGAAGGCCACACTCTCGAATAAATGCTATCTATACTGCAATGGATTAATGGAACATTTATGTCCTTGCGGCGAATCCCCATGGATGCCTAAGAGAACACGTTTTGAAGGAACATTTGTAAGTAGACATCAATAATTTATACCAACTATAACTTTGAGATTATGATTCAATGTGCAAACACCTTATGTTGTTCAAAATTCTAATAGGAATAAAATAACTTGATACTGATGAGATATTTTACCATAGCAGTAACTATATTGTAACCTAATCCATTTTGATAAAATGTTGTGAGTTTTACTATTTATTTATTAACTTTTCCCATAATTGCATAATACTTATATTACAAGGTTCTATTTCTATCTACTTGGACATAGCAATGAAACTCAGAGATCTGTTGTGACTGTTGTGATAATATGCTTGATAATGATAAAAATAATATTAAGGACGTCAATTGATATTGACACTTGAAAAGCAAAATGGGATAAGCAATGATTTTGGCTTATATTGAGTTCTATATACCATTGGAGTCAGAAACTGCTGATTGCACCACTCAAAAGTGTTGTGTAATCCATTTTGCATTTAAAGCGCTGATATTATTTATGGCCAGTTACTCTTTATGTCATAAATACATCGTGAACCAAAATGAGGAAGGAATATTAAAATTATTTTGTTCATAGTGTTTTACAATTTTATATTTTCAGGATGCATTCTATAAAATAGCAAAATTTGAAGGTGTTCCTGCACTATGGTCTGGTTTATGTCCAACACTGGTGTTAGCTGTTCCTTGTACAGTAATTTATTTTGTTTGTTATGAACAATTACGGTATAATATGAAAAAAAATTATAATGAGCGGACCAAAACCAGTAAGTATTTGCTGACAGATATATTTCTGTCTGAGGTATTTGATTACATTTTTAATTCCGAATTTTTTTCAAATTAATCGTGAAATAACCCAGTCATGCAAACTGGGCTTTGCTTTATGTTTCAGATTTGAATTAAATTATAATAAGAATGATCTAAAGTAAAGCCCAGCACATATGTGACTGTTTTAATAGGCACTAAAAATAACAGAAATTACGGAATGAGTTTGCTTTTCAGCACATCAGCCAATGTGGATACCAATGTTGGCCGGTGCTACAGCTAGAACAACTGCAGTAACTATTGTCAGTCCTCTAGAGCTTATTAGGACAAAGATGCAGTCAAAGAAATTGACGTTTGCAGGTAATATAATTATCTACTTATGTGACTTTGAACTAAATATAGTACTGGCGAGTGGACTGTATAAATATGTACATGATGGAAACACCTTATATGCATATTACAACATTTAATTTGAAATATTGAATTCAAAACCAAACAAGGCAGCGCAGCGTAAGCAACTGCCCAAAATTTTGCTAAACAAAAACAATCGAAGTGGACCGTCAAGCGAAGGAAGCCTCATTAGACGCGGAGAATTTGAGATGTATACCATATCACTCTGATGAAAAATATTTTATAAACCGAATGTAAATTGTAAAAAAAAAAGAATTACAAAAAAAAAGTTGGTTAGTGGTTGCTAACACTAGTTCCAGTTTTCTTGCCATATAATATTTTTTTTACGTTTCATGTGTTGACCCTTAAATATATAAAATGACAAATATATTCTTGATTTTCAGAAATATCTGGTGCCCTACAGCAAGAAGTGAAAGCAAAAGGACTTGGAGGACTATTCCGTGGATTAGGGTCTACTTTGCTAAGAGACGTTCCTTTTTCTGGTAAGATTTTTAATAATTAAATATTTCACCTGTTTATGAATTATTCTTGAGAAATATAACAACCGTTTTGTGAAATGTTTCAGGCATGTATTGGACTATGTTTGAAACTATAAAAAGGTCATTCAATAAGACTGAGGCTGAAAAAAATTCATTTCTGTTTAATTTCTTTTGTGGATCTGTAGCTGGCAGTGTAGGTATCAAGATTAATAATTTCTTGTTCTCATTTTCTTTATCATAGCAGCCTTTAATTAAGGCTGTCTTTGGCAGATTTTCTTAATCTTGACTTGCTTGTAAAATGTAAGCAAAACCAATCAATTTCAACTTACAGATTGCTGCATTCATAACTTTACCATTTGACGTTGTAAAAACGCATCAGCAAATAGAATTGGGTGAAAAAGAAATATATACTGGTAAGTGTGAATTTAGTTGCATGCAAATTAGTTTTTTTCTTATTACCGCAATGTTACCACACAATGACATATTGCAAATTGTTCTCGACTGTAATTTTAAAATTTTTCAGATGGACATGCAAGACAAAAGGCAACAAGTATACAAGATACTGTGAAATCAATATACAATAATCACGGTGTTAAAGGATTGTTCACTGGAGTTGTACCTCGAATATTTAAAGTTGCCCCAGCATGTGCAATTATGATTGCAACATTTGAATATGGGAAGCAATTCTTTCAAATATATAACACACAACAGTACAAAGAGAAGATGCAAAGGTAATTGAGCTTTGTATCTAATAAACTCATATTATTTTATACAAATGTGTTTCCAGGTGGTGCTGTTGGTGTCTAGTAGTGGACAATTTGTATCTATGTGCATAAGGAAATTTTCCATTCAACCTTTTTCTAATATAAAATCTACCACTTATGAGAATCCGAATTGTCAGCTAAATTCCTAAACTTCAAATCGAATTAGGTACTACAAATGCTTGATGATCAAAAAACAGAATTAGGTACTACAAATGATTGATGACAAGATATGATTACACCTTTATAACTAAAAAAGTGTGAACAAATTATATTTTAAGCTTTAATTGCCCAATATTACCCTTAAAAAGGAAAAAAGTGATGTCGCCAAAAACAGATTTACCAAGTTTTCAAATTTAGCTGACAAAATCCATTAGGATTCCTTAAGATTAGCCCTAGTTATGGACCGTTTCTTTTTTTATGATGTAGATGATATCTATGGTGATGACGATTTTATTTCAGACAAGGAATAGAACTGACAATTATTCGAATAGATGATGACGAATAAACTTTCTTGTATTGCATGTTTCTTTATAAGGTATCTGCAATAAATTTGTGGTAATTTAGCTATTCATGTAATAAGAAAATAATTTTAGTAACAACAAGGTGTCGTCATATTTTGGTATACGAAAGTGTGCATGAAACTGAATAACATTTTTGCACAAAAATGATGCAAAATAAAACATTTAACTTTTTTTTTATTTACACCACTTTCATGTCCTAAAATATAAAACTAAGTATACTTTTCTGTTGTAACAAACCAGTATAATTTCGTTGACAAAGAATGCGTATGGCATATCAAAGTTAGATTATAGGTAAATTAACTTTAGCAATAAGTAGATTGGATAATTGTTTTTATCGAGATGTCCGAAATTCCAATTGTACAGTATTGTAAAAGGTAGTTATAATCTTGTAATGGTTATTTTATTGTAATAAATGTTGCAAATATTTTGATCCCATGGCAAAAGGTAATTTGTTGGACAATTTTACTGTTTTGTTTAGAAACTTGCTGCAAACAGTTTTATTGAATTGTAATGCTGTAACTGACATTATTTGTGTTTCAGACATCAAGAAATTATGTTAATGAGCCCAACAAGTAGTGATTACTCATTTTGAGATATGAAGGAAGTCACATAGCAAGACAATGCAATGTTACTCATAGTGGTAGTTTGGCTTTATAATGGCTGTTTTAATTAGTAACTATTGTTGCACTTATAATATAGTAGTACAAAAAAAAAATTAGTATTATGTTGATTAATAATGTATTTGTTTCGATCAAAAGCTTCCATAGATAAGTTGATCATAATGTTGTAATTGTGCTACTGTATTTCATGAATGTAGAAAATGTTATCATAAAATAATTAACAAGAATAAATATGCCAATATTAAGTAAAGTAAAAAATAAGCTCCTGCCTTTTTCAAGGAAGCGTTCCAAAGCATATCAAAGTAACCGAAAACATTGACATGCAATGTTCAAAAGGTTTATAACATGACATAACACTGTTAAGAAATTGTGGTTAACTAAATTGCTTGCTGAGCATAATATATAGAGTATGTAGTATAAATGACGTTCAGACATAAAACAGTGAATTCCTGACTTTTTATAAATGTAATGTGTACTTAGTTCTACATAGGTGTACTAGAGTACTCAGGGCCACTGCCAGGAGGCTGCAAATTTTACCTTTTTTGTCATGTTCCACCAAATAAAGAGGTAATGAAAAAGCAATGGCGATAATGCACTTGCTGAGTGCTATTAGGTCCCTCCTATATGGACAATTGCAAATCATTGCAAAATTCAGTGTTTTGCAAAAAATTACTCCAAAGCTATTAGCTGTACTTTTTTATTGTTTAATGAAACTAATTCATCTGTATTATATTATTGTTTTTAATATCTTTATTTTTTTGTAAATATTGCATCTACAGTACATTATGTTCAAAGAAAGGAAATAAAGTTAGTAAATCTCTACTGTTGTTATTACTCACTTTGGTTTTTTTTACACTTCTTAAACAATACCTACATCAAGGGATAAATCTATGGTAAATAGTTGACTGAATTTATGTCTCCTAATTACACTATACCAAATTTAGGTGTAAGAAATTGCAGACTTGCTCTCGAATCTAAATTAATTTATTTGCTTTTGTTATGGTAATTACACAATTGTTATTTATCACACAGTTGGTGAGGTACAAAGTACAGTAGTAGTAATAATTGAAATGAACATCTTCAAATTACATATAAACAATTATTTTTATCTCCATTAAACATTTATTATACTAATGTATCAATGATCAATTGTTGCAGCAATAGCAATATTAAAATAAGTTTTTTTAACCAGATTTTCAGTGAGGATAAATGATTTCAATATTACTGTGTAATATTTAGTAATCAAAGTGGAGCAATTTTTCAAGTGTATAGCTTAACAAAGTATCCACTACCGATTCATTATAACTCTGTAACGAAACACCTTTTTAAAGTGTTGACAGTTCTACGAGTAGGTTAGTGGTGTAATTACTCTAGATTTATGTATAGCAATGTCTTACTGGTTATTTTTAGGAGATACTCTATATATGTTCAGCTGTGTTATACAGAAATGCAAAGTACTGATATGGGACACATAATACTTTGCAGTAGATTTCTCAGGGCTTGAAAATGCACGTAAGTACATAAACAACCTCCGATGCCCAGAAAAATAATTTGAGGTTATGTTATATTAAAAAAAAAACAAACTAGAATAAAAATAAGTCCTTATTTATTACATTATCTTACCAAAAACTATTAATGAACAATTGGTCCTAAAGGTTCAGCTTTTATATTTCCGAGGTCCAATCTACTATCGATAGATTCGTCTATTTGACCAACGATTGCTATGTTATCTCCACGAATTATATGAAGTCCAAGTACTACTTGAGCCACTCCAGCAGACGAAGAAAACACCCTTTCATGAGATTCGTCCAAAATTATGTTAATAGTTTGATCAAAGCCCTTCAATGTGCCGATGAAGTTCCGACCGTCCGATGTTATCACTGACACAGTTTGATTTACATAATTCTCCAAACCGGAAGCCATGGTCTTCTATAAGATGTACAAGCTGTGGTTAAGTTGTCGTTAATTTAATTACAGATTAAAAAGATATTATCTCCTATATTCTGCCAAAAACGACGAATGCAGTAATAAACCTCTTTGGAATGCAGTTTGTTTTGTTGAAAATGTCAAAAACTATAGTGTCACTGTCATGTAATTTTTTAGCCGATCCTACACATGTACTTTATTATTGGGTTAGCAATTCGCTCTGGGCCTTTTGGAGGGAAGTGTCGTTTTTATTTTGACTTTTAATTATTTTGTGAAATCTAGTTTAAAGTGGAATAGGATAGTGCTATTGTGCCTTAATCGAAGATTAAAATGCGAAATTATACGAATCTCGAACTAAATTAACCCGTATCGGCCCGTTCTAAGGAATCCCGAGTCAATCCAAGCAGACTGCCTCAAATTGCCTATCCTCTTTGTGGCGGCCATATTTACAGAAACATAATTAAACGAAGACATGGCTCAAAAGACTTGTATCCAAGCCAAAATTATTAATAAAAGAAATATTATTGAGTTACAAGTTACAAATATAAATTGATTTTTATTTGCGCTTATTTTCCTTGTTTCTAGTCAAAAAATATATAATATATCACGCAAAAGTTAGCCCTAAAAATTCATATTGTGCTGTCTCACTTTGATGGTAATCTCGTGCGGTAACCATTTCCAATAATTAACCAAAACAATCGCTGGGATTTTTTTAAATATGGGTGGGAGCTTAAATGTATTTTGCTAGAGAATTTCACGTTTTTTGTCTTATTTCTCAACTTATTAATATTATTATCATCATCTAATATTATTTAGTAAGTTTAAAAAAAATCATAAATGGCGAATTCAACAGTGCAATATGTTTTGCTTAGAAGTGACTTACTCAAAGAGTTAGGGTGGTCAATAGGCGCTCTGGTGGCTCAAGCATGTCATGCATCTACGGCAGTGCTACATTTATTCAAGGACGATGAATACACAAAAATGTATTTGCAAGATTTGGATAATATGCACAAGGTGGTTTTAGAGGTAAGTCAATAGACGTACATTCTCTCATAACCTGCTTTTCTTTAATTTTGTAGGTATGTTGCAATATTTGATTACGTTATGTGTACATAAAAATTAAATCAACACTCGCAATTAACACTTCTTTAACTTGAATTTGGTCGATTTTGCGTTTTTAATGCCATCATTCAGCTAATTCAAATTATATTAACAAATTCAGAAAATAATACGTAAAATGATTACCATATTTTATAAAATCTTCATTGAATAACTTGTAATACAAAAATCACTACCTAATAGAAATGTTTGAAAATTAAAGTTTTCCTTTCATAGGCTCTGGTGAAAAGTTGCAATTTTTAAGTTAGGTTATGTAGTTTTTAAATTGCTTTTCTACATTTTAAACCTAATTAAATAATTTCGAAATATTTTTTGGGGTGCAATCAAGTAACTTTTGAGTATTACGTTATCCTAGGCCTTGTATAAAATATGCTTTTTTGGCTCCAGGTACCGAATGAAGAAACCTTGAAGAAGGTTGCTGTCAAGTTAACAGAGAACTCTATAGATCACAAGCTATGGATTGAACAGCCTGAAAACATACCTACGTGTTTAGCAATCAAACCCTATCCTAAAGATGAAGTAAAAAAGTTTGTAAATAAATTAAAATTGTATAAGGAAACTATTAGTAGTTAGGAGTAAATTTCTGCCGTCCCCTAACTAAAATGTGGTGACAAAACTACGTGACAAAAACAATTTTTTCAGATATCATAAATAAAATTGTTTAATGATATTTCAACTATGCATTGTTAGGGTCAGTTCTTATAAATTGAACATGTTAACTAATTTTAACTGTTTTTAAAAGAGATTTTGTGGTCTACTTTTTGCTATTCAAAATGGTTATTTGATTATTTGTCACTTAGCCACAGTTTAGTTAGTGGATGGCAGATTTATTAGTTAAAAATATTAAATTCGAGTTCTTAGGTTTTCGCGATTGTTACACATAGGAAATGAAACTATTTTTCCGGATTTAAATCGCGTATATTTGTTTTTTCAACAGTCAACCGTGACCATGGGACCTGTAAAGGGCCCGAAACGTCGGTTTGTTTGAAAAAACAAATATACGCGATTTAAATCCGGAAAAATAGTTTCATTTCCTAATATTAAATTCATCATCAAAACTTATTTAGATTTTGAGGTTCGTTTTCTGTATAGTATAACTCTACAGGTTTATGTAAAAACTTGCTACTCTAAAAGAATTACTAAGTTTGAAAAGTTCAATTGTCAACATTTTATAACAAGGAAACTGAACATCCTTGATGACTCATTGGTTAGCACAATTTTACTGTTGGTTCTAGTCTGGTTGTTTTGGGTTATAATATTTGAATTTGAATAATCTTTTATTTCTAACTAAAGTTCATGTTTTGTTAGTGGCAATTTCTTGTTCTATGGTAGTAACAATGAATTTTAATTAATTATTTAATATTATACATGGCGACTCTGGAACACATGTGACACTCATTCCAGTGCCTTACTATCAGGCATTCTATTCGCTCCAAAATGGTGTTGGTGGTGGAGACCGTTGGTGCTGTATCTCACGCGCTGCATCACCGAGCTCCATTTGCTCAGGATAGTCTGGAAACTATCAACACGCGTCTCGGCAAACATAGCACTGCAGAATCGGTAATACCCCGTAGTTAATTTTGTTGCTCTGCTACTCATAGTGTAGGGAATTCCCTAATTTTTAATCAGGTAATTTGTTTGACATACAATTGTCTGTTCTTTACATATGTATAGTAAGTTATATCCAAGTGTTAGTTCTAGTTAGTTACGCAGAAGTATTCATCTGGAACATAATAATTTTCCACTGTGGTTTGTGATAAATATAATTAATATTCAACAATGCTTTTTCCTGTAATTCTTGAGATTATTACTTTCTGTAATTACATTAAGATTACATAGTTAATTGTTTCCTGTAGCAGCTTGTAACTTCATAGTGAGTTTTTCTTGTATAAAGACATGTTTGTTGCTCCACATACTTGTAGAGCATATTGTATTTATAGCTGTCCAGAAAAGCGGCTTATCACAAAAACAAACAATTTTGGTTTAAAAAACGCATATTATTATCTGGCGCGCTAAGCCGACGAATCTCAAGTAGGTACAGGCTTAATGTTGTCATGTGATTTTTTTTACTGAAGGAAAGACTTGACACTCAGAAAACGTATAGGTAACTTAAACTGTATAATTAATAAGTCTTGAGAAGTAGCGATGTAGGATCTTAGGCTGCTAACAGATGGACTGCACGTCTGCAGTTAATGCGTGTTGTTGAAACTTCGACTTCGGGTAGTAGACTTCAGATGCCTTTAGTCAAGACTTCAACTGCATGCAGCAGAAGTGAACGATTAGAGGTGGCTGCTTTTTAAAATAAACACATAAGCACGCTTTTTATTGTAAGCGTAAGCGTTGGTCAGTTCTATACTCAACAATTTCATTTTTTACAACGACGTGCCTAAGGTTCAAGTCCCGCCGTTTATGTTTCCTAAACAGGTTACTTAATTCGTCTATGTGAATAATAATTTTATAAATAAAAATAAAACTCATGTTTTACAAATAAACTTACTTAACTTAAAACCTTTAGTGGTCTATTCTTGGTTTTTGCTATCAACACAACGTTGCAAGATTTTTTTAACTTAAACTACGCTTAAACATTTTTGTAAACGATTTTTTAAGCTTCAAACTAAAAAGCGTTTAAGTGAAAAGCGTCTGAGGGTCGTATTCCAGAACTGTACTCAATGCTTAAATCAGGACTTGAGTATGATTGAAGCATTAGAAATCAGAGTATGATTTCAAGCATTAGAAATCAGAGTATGATTTCAAGCATAAGAAATCAGAGTATGATTTCAAGCATTAGAAATCAGAGTATGATTTC